CACTCATCTTAGTGGCCAAGTTTGGACAACACTGCTGTATAGGAATCCAACAATTTGCAAATACCTGAAACCTGGCTGTAACCGTTAAAGTTAAGTCTGATGTTGTACCTCCCTGGATATTTTTTTTACAGTTCAGTTTTATAGCAGTTGGAAGTAGTTTGGATCATGGATGATATTCACATATCCTCCTACTGAGGGTTTTCTCCCCATCCTTCCTCCTTCTGAAGGCCACCTGAATAACTTCAGAATAACTTTGCCGCCATCTTCTGCAACTACAGTATTTCATTCTTGAGTAAGAAATAAAGGAATTGCAGTACGTTTATAGCCATGTTTGTCTTTCTAATGGATTCCTTAAAGGAAATTAAAAAGGATTGGTTCCACCCTAACCTCACGTCTGTCCATTTATGGTAGCTGATACTCCTAGATAGTCATTTCAGCTGCTGCTGTTTCTTAGCACAACTGTAAATTACTGGATGGGAAAGAATGATGGGGCTTGTAGTTCTACCATCACATTTTCAGCATTATAATTCAGACACGCATGCGAGACGAAACAGATCCATTGATCGTGAAGGTCTTAGCAAGGGTTCTTCAGGTCTGGAGAACTGAAGTAGGTTTGGTTTCAGAAAAAACACATAAAGGCCGTGCAACAGCCACGCTCTAAACCCAAGACGGTAGTTTGCTTTTTTGGAAATGCCCCAGACCAGAAGGCCTGTGAATAGATTGGTCACAGATATATCTTTTATTGCATGGATTTACTAGGAGTGGAGTGAAATTTCATAAATGTTGGTGGGCTTCACAATGTACTCAGCCATGGTTTGTTGAATGAACCACAAATGTTTGCCTAGCACCCCAGATCATAAACCTGGTGTTTGCAAACCACTGTTCCTTGGGGTCACGCACAACCCTAATAATTGCTTAGAGGCAGGGTTCCTCAACCTCAGCAACTTTAAGATGGGTGGACTTGAGAATTCTGGGAGTTGAAGTCCACCCATCTTAAAGTTGCTGAGGTTGAGGAACCCTGGCTTAGAGGTCCTTCTCCCCAAAGAATCCGATCAGATCCTGAAAGATGAAAACATAACAAAGTGAAATGGTTTGGTTTCTGAAGATAACATGGGGGGAGGGCAGGGCATGAAGGAGCAAGAGAAATGAGCAAGCATGAACATGATTCCCTTGACCGTATTTTGGAAGCAAGCCACAGATCACCTCTAAGATCCATGTTTAACGACGGGGAATGGGAAGGCCGTTCTCCCTCTTATGCTGTCCTTGGAATGCAGGGTCCAGAAAGAGCAGGAGACATCAAAGGATTGATGGCACAGCTCCTCAGGAAACACACGGGATGTCACGGTACCGACCGTGGAAGCCAAATTTCTCCAGGGCAATTAGCTCCAAGATGTGAAGGGAACTCCCATAAGAAGAGCCAGCAGAATTTAGAGGCCAAATACGGCTGCCTTTGCAAGGAAAAACAGGAGGAATGGTTGGAGGCCTTGGGTGGTCACCTGGAGAAGACCACCTGGAGATCGATGGCTTCAAATATCTGAAGGGCTCTCAGGGAGAAGATGGGGCTGAGTTCTTCGGGTCTGTTCCAGAAGACCGAAAGGGTACAGAGGACTTAAATGAGAGGGAGGTAGAGGTTGGTGGATGTCACACGTTTCCTAGGTAGGGAGGCGGTGTAAGCTCTCCCGTGTGAGGGTTTGAAAGACTGGATGTACCCCTGTTAGGGACAAGGTAACCTGTCACTATGGCTGGTGTGGGTCTTCCAGGCGCTGTGGTCGTGTTCTTGAAGTTTTGTTTCCTAACATTTCGCCAGCACCTGTGACCGGCATCAGAGTGCCGGAGCACAGACAGGAGCAGTTCTCTCTGTGCCCAGGGTGAAGTGACCCTTCTGTGGGTATT